ACATTTAGGGGTTATAAATTTAAAACCTGAAGCTTAGTAAAACGAAAACAACCAACCCCATTTACAAACCCGCATCACAAACCCAGGGTTGTCTGATCATTGTGGCCTGTTCCGAGAGATTTTTGTACTTGAGAGGTTAAATGGGTTGTGCTGGATCGACACAGTTGCAAGATGAAGGTGTGAGACTTCTCTATTATCACTCGAATCTCTCTCTTAGTTTATCGCTTTAAATTTACTTGTTTTGTTTGCTGGATTTTGGGCGTAAAGATAACATTTTTTTTTGTTAGGTTTGGATCTTCTATTTTTAGATGCTGTATGTATGTGTGTTTTCATGTCTATGTGCATGTATTATCCCTCATTATGATTGGCTTATTCTTATGATGTTAATTAAGTCGTAAAGGTAAGTTCTTTAGCCTTTTGAGATTGGCAATTAGTAGTTTTTGCACAGTAAACTAGCTGAGATCACTTGGTTTTGCGGTGGACATTGCAGGGTGTAGCCAACTTCTTTGGTATAGATGTGTTCTTTGTTGTTCGATAATTACCTGATTTGATGCCTTCTGCAAATTGTTAAAAGATGGGTTTTAATTTGATCATAATGAGTGTAGGAATATAATTTGACTCGTTGGATGAATGCATATACATATGTTCGATGATAGACATAGATATCCATAAAATGGAGATTTTATTTGTTTTATTGTTTTATGCAACAGGTATAAACAATTCTGTTGCTGGTTACAGGTATAAAAATTAATATCAATTTTTGAGTGGTGCTTTCGTTTTATATTATTGATTACAAATGAAATTAAGGGTGCTTTTGTTTGAGTGGTGCTTTCGTTTTATATATTTGAGTGGTGCTTCAACATTTGTCTACTAGGAAAGAAGAGCTCTTGAAGAGAATCTCCAGAAAAACAGCAACTCTAAATCATTACCAAGAACAGCTGAGAAAAAGAGCAATGATGGACTCAATAGATGATTCCTCCTAAACGAGAGATGAGAGTTTCAAGGAGTAAATCTTGTTAGTTAATGTTAGACTTGTAACAGATTTTAGAATTGTAACATTTTCTTATTCTTTTTTTTTTGTTAAATTGATGATTATTTAAACAATGTTAACTTGTCAACAAGGCTGAAGAAGTATAATGTACAAAAACCTGGTTTTACATTATAATTCAATGTCCCAAAATATTCCAAGTGATTGAATTGTGTACCACTTTTAAAACCATAAATTATGCCAACTTCTTAACTAGAAGAAGAGTTCAGATACATTAAATTCTCTAAGTTAACAAATAGCAACAGGTTGGTGTTACTAGCACCAGAATCTACAAATACATAACCCCACAAATTATTACAATCTATAAAGTAGATAGATGAAATCTGCATAGAAGTATGCAAACTAAAAAGTTGATTTTTCAAATTCATACAAATGCAAGACTTCAAGAAGTCTACCACATATTATGAAGTAGACTTCTTTATAAGTTTGCAAAAATCTGCTAAAAGCCTAATTAAACAAAAAAAAAATCATTACTTTGTAATTATAACATATCACCACGTTAAACTCATACAGATGCAACATACAAAACAAATAAACATAACAAACACAAGAACATTATTTTTACCAATAACATATATTCTAAAAATAAATTTTAAGAAAATGAATTAGGCAGACTTCGTATGCAGTCTGCTATGATATGCTAATATGTAACCGCAGACTTCGTCTGCAGACTTCATATGAAGTCTGCTTAGATGTGTTAATTACCTTTTAAATCAAGAAAATTCATAACTTTATAATTGTAACATATAACCACGTCAAACTCATATATATGCAACACAAAAAACAAATAAACATGTCAAAACAAGAAAATTATTTTTACAAGTAACAAATATTTCAAAATGAATTTTTAAGAAAAATAATTAGGCAGACTTCTTATGCAGTCTGCTATGATGTGCTAATACGTAACAACAGACTTCATCTACAGACTTTTTTAGAAGTCTGCTTAGATATGCTAATTACTTTTCAAATCAAAAAAATTCATAACTTTATACTTATAACACATAAACACACCAAACTCATACAAGTGCAAGAATCATACCTAAAATGCATTTACAATTTAAAATTTAAAAAAAAAAACATTACAAATATTTTATAAAATGCATTTAAAAATTTTAAAAAATACAGACATCCGTTCGAAATCTGCTGGGAAAATTTCACGTTGAAGTCATACAAAAAAAGGTTATTTTTGCATTTGACCAAATATTTGACTTTTGGTAGTAAACTTCTTCTTGCAGTCTGCGAGAAGAAAATGTTATTTTTGCAATTGACCAAAAGTTTGACTTTTAGAGCAGACTTCTTAAAAAGTCTGCTCACGAGTAAAAGAAGTCTGCTATAGTAAAGAAGTCTGCTTATGAAGTCTACTGTACAAAAGAAGTCTACTCAAGGTTATTTTTGCAATTGACCAAAAGGTTTACTTTCTAAAGAAGTCTGCGCATCAGACTTCTTTTGCAGTCTGTTTGTAGGTCAGATTTGCATTTGACCGAATCTAAAGAAGTCTGCTATTTATTTAATTAAGATTCGGTCAAATGCAAATCTGACCGAATCTTGGTCAATTGCAAAAATAACATCTCGAGTTAAACTACGAAATAGCAGACTTCGACAATTTTTCTGGTCAAATGCAATAACATTTTCTTCTCGCATACTGCAAAAGAAGTCGTGATTTTTTTGTTTACAAAGGACAATTCGCAGACTTCTTTTCAAGCCTGCTTACACAAATATAAAAAAAAAAATCAATTGCAAATCTAACCTCTGCGTTAGCTTTCGCGAAACAGAGCTAAATGTTAAAGAAAATGAAGTAGATGTTTACCTACTTCCAATTTAAACTCGATTAACTTTGACAAACACCCAAAATTTTGTATAGCACCAATAGCAAACTAGCTAAGTCGTTGTTATGCAAGAATCTCCAAAATAGATGATTTATGAAATTGAAATTTATGAAAATGAGCATGAAAGAGTTTTTTAGATGAAATTGGAGAGAAATTTATAGGTAAAATGAAGTTATAAGTGACACGCTAAGCATTTAGAGCTTCAAAATTGGTTGGGCAAACATTTAGAGCTTCAAAATTGGTTGGTAATGGTGGTTGGCAAAATTGAAGAAGATGACATTTTTGTAAATAAAAGATATATTTTAAGATGGTTGTGTTTTTTTAGTATTTTTAAGAAAAAACAAAAAATAAAAAGATAATGGCATTTTCGTGAATATATGTGGTTGTAAGAAGATAGTAAGGAGAAAATGGCATTTATTAAAGAGGGAGAAAAAAGAGGTTACTTTTGCATTTAATTTCAAATTGTGGGTCATTTGTGAAAGTACCCCAGATTAAAAATATATAATAAAGTTCAATTAAAATTTCCAACGTAAAATTACCAAATTATAAAAAGTTATAAAATTATTTATAAGAGTTTATAAGATTATTTTATCGATTGTATTTTTTTTTAATTACAGAATGTAATACTATGTTTAATTTATAGTTAATCTGTTTTTATTAATAACTAGTATTTATCAGAACTATTAAAAAATAATGAGAATTTTAAATTCAATAATATAATAATATAAAATATTTTTTTTAGTATGAGATTTAATGTTGTAGTTGAAGATGAAAAAAAATACTATTCGCCAAAACTACACATTTTAAAAAAACACTATTCATCGATTTCTCTTTCATATTCGTTTTATAGTCTTTGGTTTGGCGACAAACTTCGGTGACTATCAAGTATCAACTAAAAAGATTAAATGCAAACATTTTAGCATTTGAAAAATTTGGATTATTATCGTTCTTAAATATGTCGTTGAACCATCAACTATTAGACGAAGAAATGTGATTTTCACCAAAAATTTTCACTAAACTAAGATTTTGAAAAAAATATGATTTTATAGCTGACTGTTAGCGAATGCAAAATGAACAATGAGACGGTTTTAAGAATACTAAAGATTGTTTTTGTTGCCTTGTGATGAATACTAAATGCATTGTTAAGCAGCAGGCCTTATCATTAACCCAGTCATGAACACTATACTTTCTGGAAAAGGATGCTAATGTCCCTTTCAACAATGCAAAACAATAAAGGCTAATCTTTAGACCCTAGGCACATAATTATACTTTTATCAGACTTTTTATTTCCATCACTGTATAATACACACAAAACAATGTCCTAGAGAGAACAGCATTAACATTAACAATGTTTTGTTTATATCATTTTTTGTTTCTGTCTATTATTAGAGTTTAGGAAATTGTGATCAAGAAAATCAGAAGGAAAGCAACTAAAAATTCAATGCTTTGTCTTCTTTTTAACAATTATCCCCTTTTCATGCCCTACCTTTCTCCCTTTTCTACTCTTACTTGTACTTCTCTCTCATTTCTTTTATTTATATGCAAGGGTTCCTATGATATTACTTTTTGGAATTATATTTTCATCTTATTCTTAAAAATATACCAAATGCTCTTCATTACCATGATAAAATAACAAACTACTGTATATTTGCGTCGGATCATTTTCAAAAATAACAAACTACACTACTATTATATATATTTGAGTCAAAAGTTGAAAATAAAAATAAAATGAACAGAGGAAAAAAAATAATAAAAAATGAACACACGTAAAACAATTATTTATAGGATATAGTGATGTTTGATGATTCCATGAAACTATACTTCCTTGGAGAATCAAACAAATCGATCCATGCAAATCCCAATGTCAATTAATGAACCAAAACTCGGACCATGTTCATCTGTTTCTTCTTTCCTTCATATCTAATTCACCTTTTTCCCAAGATTTCTCTTCTTCCTCTTCACTCTATATATGCTCTTCAATCTCTTTTCATTTCTCCACAACTCTCTCTTCTTTCACCCACAAAAAGGGTTTTTTTTTCATCACATTCTACACCCAAAAAGTTTCAACCTTTATTTTTTCCCTCTATCAACTTATATATATAAAAAAAAAAATTATTGTGGCAATAATGGCTGAGTTAAAGAGTAAGTTAAATAAAGGTCACGCCTTTACAAGCAAATGTGCTTCCTTGGTGAAGGAGCAACGAGCTCGTCTCTATATTCTTCGTCGTTGTGCCACCATGCTTTGTTGCTGGTACATCCATGGTGATGAGTAAAGAGATGACTCTTCTCCTTTAATATATCATCCGAAATGCTATATATATACATATCTATATACATCTTCATGTCACTAATCGCTAGTTCTTGAAGCTCCATGGACCACTGAAGCTCTCCTTTGGCTGCTAGGCAATTCGTACAAGAAACTTGATTATCTCTTCAGATCTTTTTTTGGTGCAAAACCCTTTTACAAACTTGTCGTTTTTAACCTAAAGGATCAACCTCTTAGGTTTTTTTTTGGGGTTTGTTTCATGGGTTAATTTGCATCAGATAAGAGAGAGAGAGCAAAATATTTTATCCGCCAATCAAGCCGGAGTTTTTTTTACTGTGTCTGAAACAGAGACACTGGAGACGCTGGATTCTGTAAGAAATTGAAGATCTTTGAAGGGTTTTGTTTGATTTCGCTTTGACAGGAGAAGACTGTTTTGTTTCATCAGTGGCATTTCTTCTCTAATCTTTTTAGTTTCATTTCTTTCTTTATTGCATCATTTCCTAAATTTAATAAGAACAATAACTATGTCTATGGTAATGGTGAACCATATAGACGAAAGTATTCTTCTGTATCTTAAAATTCTAATAATACAACAAGCGTTTTCACTTTTCCTACAGATCATAATTTTCCAAAATTTCATGTCAATGAGAATCACCTTGAGTTGATCACTACTGCTCGATCCAATCTTTGAACAGCAACATCATGTAAATGGGAACGTTAAATGCCGCAATAACTATGATCATCATGATCGTACGTATCACTCTCTGGATCACAAGTTTCGTTCTTGATTTTGATGCTGATCTCATCAAAGAATCAGACCCACCAGCACCTGCATTCACATTTGAGTCCATCACAACTTCGATCTGTTCGCTCGTGTTCTTTCTAGCTGCGGCTCTCATCACCGCGTTGCCCCTAGAAAGAAGAAGAAGAGAAAATCAAAACTTGTGCCTGCAGTGAAAAACCAAAGGATGGTTCAGGTCTTACTCACCTTTCTACAAGAGATTTATCGCTTTGACGTTTCAAAGGAGTTTGAAGGACTTTCTTAACGAGATGCATAGATCCTTCTGCATCCCACATCATTTCATACTCACAGTTCTCATCTTCGTTCTTCTCCTTCGTGGCGCCGCTTAAAAAGCTTAACTTCATTACATTTGAGATACAGTCAGCAGCGTTGTTTAAGAAGCTTATTCCATGATTTGGCCAGAGAAGGAGAGCAAGAAGGGTCACGACAATTAGAGAAAGGTACCTGCAAATATTTCAATAGACCCACAAATTCATAAACATGCATCAAAACAATATTCACTAAGCCAAGAACTCTCTGACAAAGAACATACCACATGTAGATGAATAATTGGCTCGGAAGGAAGCATAACTGGGTGTGTAACATTTTATCTAGATCAGATGAGTTTTGATGGACGGCGTTGGGAACAGATAATAGCATGAATGAAGGATATATATTTCCTTGTTGCCAGCTTATAGTACCTAAAGTATGCTGCAATATGATGTTCACTATCAAAGACTGTCCGTAGTGGAAAGAAATATATTTTGCGGCCATCAATGAGAATTGTTACCTCAGTTACAGATCCTGATTTTGACTTGTGGGTTATAGTACACTGGTCATGATCATGGCCAGACAGAACAAGTATCTGAAGAAAAAAAGGGAAAACGTTGGCATAAGTAAGAGCCGTGTTTGAAGAGACAGAGATAGAAGCACAAAAAGAACTTTCAAATGAACAAAAAAAAAAACAGAAGAAATTTATCTTACGGGTTTAATCAACTCCAGTAACTTCTTTGATGATTCGAGAGTGATATAATTCTGGTAACTGAAATGGAAGGGAAAATACAATAAGGACAACATTAAATTAGACGTGCCCTTAAAGCTAATTCAATTTCTGTATTATAAGATGGACAGGTAGAAGTTTACATTACTTCTTGATCTTGAATATGGCGCCAAAACCGCTGTACAAGAACGAGTAGACATTAGACCACAAACAGTGTGTTTAAATTTGAATAACACTATAATCCGAGCAGATAAATCACCTGATCAATGATAGAAGAACCACGGTGAGGGCCGCATGGGGTTTGATCAGGCCGATATAATGGGATGTGGGTCAATAAAACTCTAGGATGTGATTTTGCATCTATAAAGATAAGAAAGATTTATGAGTAAGCTTCAAAAATCAGGAAATGCAAAGATAGTAAATGCCGAAGAGGTTATAGCTGAATAACACACACCGGAGGAGACATTTTGTACGAACTTCCAAACATCCGATGCCAAATCCTTTTGAGGATTCCCTGCAAAATGTACATCATCTTTTATGTTATGGATCCTTGGTTTCTCTTTGAGGAGAAACTATAAGCATGTAAAGGAAATATCTTAATGATCATGCATGGAACAAAGCAGAGTTTGTACCAACCATCAATAGCTTGTGCATCAACGCTAATGAACTCGATACTTCCAACCATAAATCTACGGTTTCTGATCCCAAATGCTTTTTCGTATCGATCAATCACCTGTTGAAATTTAAAGTTATATCAATTATAGGTTGATTTGATAACATTTCAGAAAAGAAAGAGGTGATAACTGTCATACGTCTGGCTTATGAGACGCAACTCGAGAATAGCCAAGATCATGGTTCCCAGGGATGTAGAATGTAGGGATGTCCTCAACTTTGCCTTGTGAAGCCAAACCAAACACATGTTTAAACCGGCTTAAAGATTCCTGCCATCTGATTCAAAATGAGCAGTTCCATGAATCGTTGCTTCAGATTTCTGAGCAGGAAGAAGAACCAATGAAAAGAGAAGTACAAAGGAGAGCTTACTCATCCTCAGGGAGAAATGGCCCGCCATCGAAATAATCACCTAGAAACAAAACAAGGTCGGGTTTGAAAGGCAAGATAGAGTGAAAGAAAGATCTTCGCATGTTTATATCAGTATAAAACTGTGCAACTTCCAAAGCAAGCGTCTTTGAAGACAAACGAAACGATGTCTTATCCATGAGCTGCATAATGACAACAACAACACAAAACCAGATGATCGACTCCACATTTAACACACAACACAATCAAAAGGCATTTGAAGAGCTCGTCACCTGTGGATCAGTAACAATGGCTACTTTAGTAAACTTCCCATCACTCTCCACTCCATCAGTCTGTAGAGAAAAAAAGGAAGAAGAAGAGGCTAAATATATCTTAGCAATCACAACTCATTTCTTCTTCAAGAACAGTGACTAAGAATATTGATGAATTCAGCTTCTGAAAATCATTTGAGATTTATGTTGCATCAAAGCTAGTTTTAGGGTAGGGAACGATTACAATCTCCAAACTAGTAATACCGAGAAAAATCGAGTTTTTCAATTTCAAAATCTTCGTTTTTACCATTTCCATGAACCTATGGACGATTGCAATTGGCATGACAAATTTCTCGTCATTTCGTACAGAAACAAGCAAATACACAATCGAAATGTCATTGAATCTGAAGTTTCGCTCAACGCCAAAATCGAGCGTCAGTGATTGAATAATATGGAAATTTCAGTGGAGAGAGAGACCTTAAGAAGATGGTGGTGAGGCCAGGAACAAGTGAAGAGAGAAGGAAGCCAGAAGGCGAACATTTCGCCATAGAGGATCGACGCAGCCCAAATGAGACATAAAGCCACCGTGAGCTTATGGTGGTGTTTCATCTTTCCGAGCATCTGAATCTTTCTTCTCAGCTTTGCTTTGCTCCCCCGAGATATCTGCTGATCGCTCGCTGTTGACCAAAAAGAGCGGTCAAGACGCGACGAGCTGCGTTTGAGTTTATACCCAAAACGTCGAAATCGCGGAGTGTGAGTAACAAAAACGTAACAAAAACGTAACGTAGTTTTATGTACAGAAAAACAGCACGCATGCTCTACAATTTTAGAGTGTGGTACGGTTCAACTGCAGTAAGTGCGGGAAAATATATTTGCGGAACAAGTGCGGTTCACATTAAATAAGCGATACACAATAATGTTTGACTGGTGAAATAAAGTAATACATTGTGTAAATAAATATTATTAGATGTTTTAAAAAATCAAACTTAATATTTTTGAACAAAATTAAATATCTCAACAAGATTAAAATATCTAATTTTTTTCATTTAAAAATAAATTTTTATTATTGAAAAACGCACTATATATATCAAAACACACCAAAATAGGTGCGTAACTACTGTGCAGTGCGTATTTTAGTTTTGCTTCACAAAACTGACATATTATGCTAATATTTTAATAAAAAAATGAAAGACAGAAAACGCATTACAATCAGTTCAAACTTGTTAAATGGTAACAGATTAGCAGAATTGATAATTAGACTAGAAAAAGCACCGCTATATGTCGCCATTCACACCCTAAGATATAGAAAATGGGCCGAATTTAATATAGGGCCTAGTCTTATCAGATCAATGATGCTTCCTAAGGCCTCTAAATAAGAGTAAACTCAAAAATAGAATAAGCATCTCCCATCTCCCATCTCCCATCTCCCATCTTTGCTCTAATTTCAAAGGTTAGTCTTCAGATTCGAAGATATTTCTCGTCATTGTGATATTTAATTCTGTTAAGTTTAGCTATTTTGTTCCTTTGGATGGTTACATGAGCAAGTTGATAGTGATCAAGGAAACTTTGCAAACGAAATCAGTGGTAACTAATCACATAATGTGATAATATATGTTTCAAATTAATAATACGTGATTGTTGAAGTTTTATATAATTTATTTTTTAATTAAGTCGGGTTAGTTTTTAAGTTGTAACTAAGATGTAAGAAACGATAATTTATATCGACCGTTTGATTAGTGGTGAAGAATACAAGTTCATTTTAATTTTAAAATTTGTAAAATTGTACAGAACGAATTTAATAGTTTTATTGGTTTAAAAAGTGTGACGATGGATCACAACTTCACCTTCAAAATTTGTGCAATTTTTTTTTATTTATAATTTCTAGCTTCTTAAATTTCATAATTGACCCTGCATTTGATTTACGTTGTTGATGTCAC